AGTTATTAGAGAAATTAAGGAAGAGAGCGTGAGATGAGGGGAGAGAAATATCACAATTTTAATGAAACCCTGGATACAGTAGCTGTTTCCACAGAGACACCCTCAGTAGCTGATTTAGCAAGAGCTTGAAGTCCTGTGATGACATAAAAGAAGGGCTATGGAGGAGAACAAAGCTCTCTGTGGGTAAAATTTACTTTTGGTAATATACTAAAAGGTCTGTCAAATTATGGAAGTCTTTATACAGTGAATACAAGCTTGGAGGTAATACTGGGGCAGGACATGTGCTCTTTAGATAAGACTCAGTAGAAACATCAGTAGAACAGTAAATTGTTCCTCTTAATTAAACCTTTTTGAAGCTTGCCCACAGATGACCTACACACTGATGTTATTCACACAGAGCAGAACTAGCCCTGCATGACAGATGAGTTTTAGAAATTCACACTTCAAAAACACTTCTACCTCAAACAAGAGGCTGTGGGTGAGACGGCTAACAAATCACAGTTTTGGAGATAGATTCAAAGGGAGAAGAAACGCATGACGGAGGAATGTCAACAAAAATGTTTGCAGTTAAAAATATAAGCCCTAGCCGCCTCATTGAAGTAAAACTGCGCTGATATTTTGCGCTGAGAACAAATATTTAAAAGAAAACTGACTTAGGTGTCACCACTAGTGCTAAAAAGCTAGAGAGCGGTGCACCAGGTATTTTACACCCCGTTTAAGTCAAGATTTCACGGAATATTAAATTTATTGTTGCGATAACGTCTGCGATTTCTAAAATGTAATTGTTTCACTCATTTGAGTTTTGTGTGATGCATTATAGCAACATGCATTAGCATCTGCCAAATCATCAACAAATGGAAGCCAAAATAAATATGTAATACCCCTGAAGCATTTAAGAAAAGCTCAACTACACTGAAGATCAACACAGTTATGCTTTCTTGATTAGGGAGTTTGAGGAAAATAACTGATTGCACTCATTGAAATATTACATCATTATAATATTAGGATTCGAGTTAGTGTGAAATAAGTTCATAAAGTATCAAATAAAATGAAGACGGACAGATTAAAAAACCCCAGATTTTCTTTTTACATTGACCAGAGTGAGAACACGCTACCCTTCAATGACCCCAGTTAAATTGAAACATGCAAATATTCACAGTGCATTTGAACAAGTCTTGTCTGCCATGTGTTTTAGTTTTCATTCTAAAACACACAATACTAGAAAAATACACTTAGTAGAGGGCACATCTCCATAAGGTGCGTCTGCAACAACCCCTGTTTTATGTGAGTGATTGAAGGAATATAACCCACGATTGGCTTATCCCCGGTCAAAACAGTCTTGCCAAAACACATGATATGGAAGCTATATTTAACACAGGCCTACTGCTTACCATCACTATTCAATACACTGATGTGCCGGAACAGTGCCACTTCAAAGTTGTCGACAAATGTAGCCTTTCAGATCAATGAAATCCTTTCATTTTTCAAAACCACTACGTCTAAATCCAACCTTTGGTGGGTTGTAACTTTAATCTGCCTCTGAAGACATATTGCTGATAGGTAGACAGGTTTATATGGAGATTGATGACCATAAAGTTGAACTGAATGACATATATCCTCAGTATCTCATGCACCCGTCACCGTGATGGACTGATGTCATATGTGAATCTGCACTCGACTTTTAATCCAATACCAAGCATCCATTTGATAGAATGGCAGAGGTTGAAGCGTCACTCCGAAACCGTTTTAAAATGAGCTATAAATTAGGTATCAGACTGTCCATGAAGGCTTATGTTCCTACATGTGCTGTAATAGTGTGCCGAATTCTCTCTCACATTAATCTTTAATTTGACAGTGTAACCGATCCAAATATAAGATCCTCATTCCTTATTAATGTCATGGTGACAGCTGCTGTATCCTCTCTCTTCATTCGATTCATCCGTGTTATTCATACAAACCACAAAGTCTGTATTTCTTTTGACTAGTGGCTATCCTCTGGATTTGTTTGCATGGGGTGCCTACTCAATGCAAACATAAACACGGGAAATGGGGAAAACAGCAAGTCTGGTTCTGTCCAACAGTAGTGTAACAAAATCCACCTACATACACCTTTAAAACTCAGATTAACTAGTTGGTTGAGTCTTGTTTGTTTAATCTGTACAAAAACAAAGTGTAAAAACAGTACAAGAAGACTCCAGTAAGTTATTGTGCTGTATATCGTCTCATCCAACTCTCAGCAAGAACACAAATACGCTTATTTCCCAATTCAATGTGTTTTTTAAAATATGTATTTCTTTGGAAAAATAAGTAAAAGTGGTTCAATAACCTCACAGTACAATATGTGCAGCAGGGCAACTTTGCACGGTACCCAAGCTTTTGGTTCTAAAACATCAAAGCCAATACCTTGCCTTGTTTGTGCTAAGTTAACAGACCTTTACTGTGCAGTGCCTAATTTAGAAACAGCTAGTCCTTTTTGCGTCATGCGTGCGTACACTGCACACTAATTATGTACAAAATTACAATGTCTTAACAAGCTGACAAAACATTGTACTGCCACTGTGTTATCCAAAATGTACATCACTAAAAATGAAAGATTTATCTCTGTGTTAATCCTGTTTAAGAGGACAACACCATTATGACAGATTTTCTTTTCAACCTAAAGCTCTTCACTATAAAGTCACAAAGCCTCACAAATACTGCTCTAGTTTTAACGGGAGTCGGTTTCAGTTTCATGCCTCACTCCCCAAAGGTGGAACAGAATTTGGCTTTGAATGCACATTGAGAGGATGATCCGTCCACTATCATGCACGACGACCACGTTTTAGTTACCTGTCCGAACATATATTGATCCTTTTTTGTGTTAAAGAAACCCAACAGGTAATTCCAACTATTTTGTCCTCTCCGTACTCTAACAAAATGTTAAAGTGAAGTTAAATTTGCCGTTTCATGCTTTCATTTAACTTGAAAATTTTAATTATGCACTAAAACAGCAAGTCAGTAATATTTGAGATTAAAATATGTTTTGCACTGAACAGACTGCTCAGAACCTCTTCATGGGTTTATTTGGATTAACTGGAAAAACAGCTCAGAACTTCTCTTCAGAAATTCCTCTCTTCACTTCACGGCCTTGAGCATCTCGTGTCACCTCACATCGTGTGTGTGTTGGTTGTTACTTTTAGTTAGCATTTGGTTAGCTTAGCTGTGTTTAGAAGATGGCTGTCTGCCAAGTTTAACATAGGTGCTGTGTGAAAACAAGCATGGGCTCCAGCTATAATGGATATCAAAATCCAATAGCCATGAAAGATTTAAATCAGTTAAAAGTTAAATTTCAAGTGTCCTGATGCTCTACGAATCCTCCCAGTAAAGATGCCAAGGTAGCACTAAATACTATATTATGCTAAACTGGAAATTTATTAAGACATCTCAACCGTGGTTTTAAAAAAAAAAAACCAAAAAAACCCCCAAAAAATGTAGAGCCTTGTCTTTTTAACTATCAAGCAGAGCTCTCACATCACCAGCAATAAGGACATTTTATGACTTTGCTGCCATGGACAAACAGATCTAAAGTTGATGAAAACTCAAAAACGAGAAAGGACAAACAAAGGCATAGTGTCAGTTCTTCCAGCTAAATGTCACCCTCCGTAAAAACATGTCTAATCCAGGAAATCGTGTCATCTCACATTTGTATGATGTCTGTCTCTCGTCACTGTGACCTGGCTACTGAAGCGTAAATGTCAAAAAAATAGTTTACAAAAAGGGCACTTCCTCATAAATCCTGGGGGAATCCCATGAGGGCATGGTGCAAAATAGTTCCAACCTTCCTTCACTATAAAAATCCAGCCATGAGCATTCAAATAATTTTTAGGTTTTTTTTCAAAAGATGTAGGCTACATACTTTAACCTTCCACTGCTATAAAGTTGTGATATTCTAGCCCTATTAACCAGTTTAGCCGATCTAAGCCACACGGTTACTCAAAGAAAATTATAGTGAAGTATAAAATTGATAGTTTGGCAATTCATTAGAAAACAAAAAATGGCCCAAAAAGTACCCTGTCAATCTACGCACAATTTTATTATTTCCGACACCAATGGTTTGATTTGGTGGCATCTGTTGACTTGATTTGCAAAGAGTAAATTGGGCTGCAAGTGTGCCGATAATGATGTCAGCACTGAACTGAAATCAAAGGGGGTAAATTGCTGTATCATGGGTGAAAAATATGTTAATTGCTTAAGAACGTTCACCCCCAATCCAACACAACCTCATCCATGATTGTTGGTTCATGGGTCGACACTGAAAGCTCCCATCATCTCAACTCTTTATTGGTCTTAACCGTTGAATATCCAGAGCAAACAATGTTTAATCATTTATCCAAGCTGTGTGCATGGCTTTATGCTCCAAGATTGCCACTATGGGGCACCAACATTTGACCTACTGAGTGGCTTTAACTTTGCATTTTCAAATTAAATATATCCAACCATTGTATTGAATTTACAATTAACCTTGGTTATACAATCACCAATGCATTGTTATCTCTTAATGCTGCTGGTCTCCTTTTGTTTTTCAATACTGCGGCCTAGGCTCTTGTTTGCGAAGTTCTTTAACATTTTAACTTTCATGCATACCAAGTAACAGCACTGTGTCTGTATCAAGCATCGGATTAATAACCAGACATTTAATTATTTTTCTCATTTTATCTGTAATATCGCGTCACTTTTAATTGCTTACTTGTGTAACATATAACCTCAGTAACACACCTTCCGCCACCTCCTATGGAATTTAATTAGCCCCATATATCTAATAAGAGGACCCCGATTTCAACTCTGTGCTTTCATCTATGTTCTCTCATGTGCGCTAACCAAGTCAATCAAGAGCACACTGCTTTCATGTCACACAAACTCATCTGTATGGGGAGACATGAGCGAGGCCAAGAGCTGCGAGAAAACCACTAGAGTGTTGAAAGAAATACAAACACTGTTTGACAAATTTCTATATGAAGCAATTTATTTTAAAAGGCTTCTTGGTGCAGACAAAATGGAATAATTTAGTTCTGCTGTCCAAAAAGCAAAACAGTAACACACAAACAACCACCATGTCAGTGATGAATACAAATGTGCAGCATCTTAAGACAGTCCAACCAAACAAAAGATAGCTTTCTGTTCGGCTCAACCACAAGTATACGTGTACATGTATATAATGAAAATATTACAATCACTAGCTGGTTTCACTCGACAATCTTCTGCATTATTAGAGCTTTGAGAGGACGGTCAGCAAGGAGCCGGTCAGCACAACACAGAAGGCAAAGGTGAAGATTAAGCAGTTGACCAAACCCTGAGAGGAAAAACACGAGTTTAAGATGTTTGGTGGCTACTGCGCATTTTTTCAGTGGAATTCAAAGCATCTTGTTTGCAATTTCAGCTGGGCGGCAATTTCACTCGTGAACCTTCATTTGGATGAAGTCATGTTCTCCTTGGTAAACTGCTGCTGCACACTTGCTAAACAAGGCTGGCATTTATTAGAGCTAATTTACAATGAATGACTAGATCATTGGACATGATTAGTGCTGTGGCACTTACCTTAATCTCTCTGAACACCAAGGTTCCCCACAGTGCTGCAACCAGACCATATCCCTACAGAGTAAAGAAACCAAACTAATGGTTTATAGAGCACAAAACAATGATTCATATTCATTTTAAATCAGTTTCAGAACGACTAACATGTTTTCTTCTACACACACACAAAAGGTATAGCAATTGGTTAAATAATTAGTTAATTAAGTTTATTTAATAATGCTGTAGGATCCTAAGATAAGAAATGACAGCATGGTTTGGTAACCAGCATGCACAAAACCGCCATGAAGGAAATCATTGTAGACTCACAGCATCCCCTCTTTTCTGAACAAAAACATCTGCCATCAGAGAGAAGACTGCGTGCCAGAGAGAAAAAAAAACAGCCTAAACCCATCATTTGTTCCAGCCCCCATCAAGCTGCTGAAATCCGATAAATTGAGCAATACACACACACTTTAGCCTTTTGCACTTTAGTCTGCCCGTGTTGTCAATGCCAGAAGTCTTATTTTATGATGGCATTATGTTTTTGTTACGTTTTATATCTAAAGCAACAGATTGTAATGTGCTCAAGACAAATTTCCCTTCAGTGACAAAGTTTATGCATCCATTGCTCTACATGCACATAATTGCTACTGTGCATTATTTGTTAATTAGCATACCATCATCTACTATATTGCCTTAACATGCATGGACAGATTAATCCCTTTCCATAAATCTACTTAATGAATACGTTTAATATGAAACAGTATTTGCATTGCGTTCGTGGGGGATTAGAACAAGACGACAAATCCCCAAAGCTTTTTTAGCAGCAGAGTTACTTTGAACGAAAGTACATGCTGAAAACTTTTTCTATCGACAGGGCTTTCAAGACAGGAAAATGCATTATTGTCACAACAGTATGAGAGAATATGAGACGCAGGATGGCATTGGTTTTGACTCGCCATGGCCCAAGAACAGCAGGTTCATCCTCAAAGTCTGGCTACAATGCAATTAAAATGTTATCTTGCATGGCAGCTAGACTCTTGTGGCATCATATATCACACGAAATCCATCTAGCCAGGCTTCAAATAATGTTTGTGTTCGGTAAGTCAGAGCACGGACCAATCAGCATCCTGTGAGGAGCTAAAGGCTGTGTGTGGCGACATGGAGAGGCAACGTATCGATCAAGCAACAGCTCCTAAAGAGGTTTGGGTAGATGCTGCAAAAGCATCAGTTATATCAGAACTGGAGTGTATTTATTGGCACTGAAGACGTTTCTCGATGGAAAATACATTTTCGCTCTTCTCGCTTCCTTAAGCGATTGATTAGGTGGTTCAGCCTATTACCTGCCAAGTTTTTTTCAAAGTACCTTCAGTATCCAATGAGTGTGCTTCTCAGGTGGTTCTTCGTAAACAAACCATCTGGCGACCCAGGTTGATTAAAATTGCCTCCAGATAAAAACTATTGATTGGACCGTTGTCTTTCATTCAGGTAAAAATTTCCCCATGACCAACACCTTTCTCCATGGTATTTATACTGAAAACAAATATATCCACTGTCCCCAGAGGATGAATCTCAATGCTTTCATTTTTGGTCCCGTTGACATTTTGTGCTACACCATCGGGCAAAAAAAAAAGTCTAAATACAACGTGCAGATAGCCACAGCATTTACTTAGCAGTGATGCCCTTATGGGAAATTAACTTTTTATTACTCTGGACACTCCATAAGCTTTTCTGTAGCAGCACCACCTGGGCAATGTCACAACCAGAGACATCTCAAAATCTCAGATGAATCATGCTTAGCTGAAAACCGCTCAGTTAGATGCAAAGATATGTCTGAACTGACCAATTTATCATGCTGGTCTGCCAAGTTCTGCAGCTAGCCAACTGTCTGATGAATTCAGGCTATAGGGGGATGTTGACATGTTTAACTTAACTAAAACATGAACAATTAGAGTACTTGTACCTAACTTAAGTCAGTATTTTCCTTTTCAAATGGAAAATTGGCAGACTGCTCAGTTCAAGTGGTGGCAAATGTACAGTATTTAAATTTCCCAGGGCATGTTGCACTTACTGTGTTGACAATAGGAAAGGTAATGACCGAACTCAGGTAGTTATTGGCCAGGAACCAGCTGTACGTGGCCAACGTCCACATCAATCCAGACAATATACCTGGAGAGCAAGAGGAGACAGGAAAGTATACTTGAGAACGATACAACGCACACAGCACAGCTGATAAGCAAGTAGTTCACAATGCAGGTGTATTCAAGTAGAAAGACGACTAAGATGAGAAAAGGTGCAAGTAACTAAACGTAGTTATTCATTAACTGCATGCCAGCTTTTGGGCTGGAATGGACATGTTTATTCACAGTAGCTTTCCCTGAACCAACATCTAACCATCCCCCGAGTGGATGCCTTTACACATGCAGCTTGGCAAAGACAGCGGATATTTTCACTGCACCAGCTCGTATAGATCCAATCCCCAGATTGGGAACCATTAGTATGACTCACTAGAGCACATGCGCTCAGGATGCCATCAATACCTACAGGGTCAAATGGCAAAACACCTGACAGACTGCCATCAGTATTAAATGCATTAGATTGCACAGGTGCATCTTGCGAAGTGGTAACTCAGTGTAAATGAGCATTAGTTTTAATAAATATAATGATTCAACATATGATAGTGTGGATTACCTGGTAGGATGACTCGGGAGTAGACCCTGGGCCTGTTATTCATGGCAGCACAATAGATGGCAAAGTACACCGTGCTTGCGACAAAAATGCCAGAGCACTGCGCATGAACATAGTCGAGCTCTGTGAAGAAGTTGAAATAAGAATTTGTAGTTTTGTTTATTCCTCTAGGTTTGCAATAATAAAAAAAAAAAAAAAAAAAATAAAAAAAAATAAAAAATTTCCTCTTTGCTTTCAAGACGTTTGTCATTACAGCCAATATCAAAGTTGGAGCTAAAGCTAAAGAGAAGAAATACTTTGTATTGATCCTTGAGCTAACACACATACAATGACTTTAGAGTCTCTCAGCAAACTAGATATTAAAACTGTTTCGCTGGAGGATCCAGTGTTATTTATAGACCAACAGTGTGATACAGTCTTAAACCTGAGAGGACATTTTAATCTTTGTTTGTTCCAGTTTTTTTTCAAGTAAGATATATCGATAGCATCTTTAAAAATAAAAAAAAGGTAAAAGTGAGGTCAGTTATCAAACACTTAAAGCCATACCATAGTTACTGGCTCCATGGAACATGCTGTTAGGGCACGATGAATGGCTCTTTATGTAAAGGACGGGTGCAAAGGAGGCCCCGTACAGCAGGCCCGACACAGCAGCAAGCAGGCAGCCTCTAACCAGAGTGACATGATGGATGCATTTTAAAACTCTACTGGACACATTGTTGAATTTCACCATTGCATACCAAATTGATTCATTACATGTGCATGGTAACATATTTAGATGTGCACACCCATTTCATTTTTAGCCAACAATTTAAAAGTGGTTAACAGAGACAGTGTATTACTTACACTAGTGGCGCTATACTCGCATGCACTTTTAAAGTCCAACACGGTTTGCAGCGTTATTTTTATCCTTCATTTAAGGATTTTTGCTGTTTGATTGCTTCATTTCATCAAGCGCTTACATTTCCTCCTGCTTACTATATCAATTTGCTGTTGCAAGGCAGCAATACATTTCCTAAGTGGGATCAAAGTGATATCTTCATTGTGAAATAGTTGAAGTCATGACTTAAAGAAAGGCTTACTGTACGTCAACTCAAAAAGAAACGCTAGCCAAGAGACAAATCATGTTACATTTTAAACCCAAGCAGGCCAGCAGCTGTAGAAACGAAGGCCTCAAATTCTATCCTTGTTCCTCGGGGGAACATTTCTATTGATGACCAAACAAACCCCATGTTTCATAAACCTTCCCTTGTCAATGCTTGTAACTTGCAAGAACAATAAATGTGCACGCAGCTCACTGACTGCTAATGAGTTGAGCTCACATGAACCGCCTGGTCTTTGGTCCGATGACATCCATCCAGAACGCTGAGGAACTTGATCTCTGCAGAAAATTAAATATGAAGTCATGTTGTCCAATAAAGCAACTGCACCATCAGAACATGCTAAACAACACAATGTCATCAATTTGAAAAACCAAGTGGCAGGAATTGATTGTCCTTACATATTGGTAAATTCCTCTTGGTTTGAGTGAAGTCAGAAATGACAAAAGAGGTGAGAAATGTAAACTAACATCTAAATCAATGTACTCACTCTTTCGAGAAGTAATGGAATCGATTCAGAGTTGGGATGCAGTTCCACGTCCGTTTTCACACAGAAAAAAATTAGGCCACTGGAACAAACAAATGTCATACATCTGTCCTCTGATGTCCAAAATAGCCATCAAACTGAAATACCATCACCGTTTTATTGCGACTATTGAACTATAGCACAGGCAAGAAGGAGGGAGACTACAGTTTACCTGAGCAGACACAACCCAGCTCCCAAATAATTTAATATCGGCCTGGAAACATCCTGAGAATTTCCAAACCAGCCAAACCTGTGAAAGACAGTCAGTACTCAGTTTATTTTGAATATATTGCCAAATTACAGTAACCCTGGGCTGACATCTCCATTACAGGACCCAGCAAATAACTTGTAAAAATATACAACATATTTGCATAAACTGTCACTATATCCAGACAGTACAGAATCTGTGGAAAATCAGGTTTCTCTGCCTCCTTTTAGTGCAACTATCGGCATTTACAAAACTCTACTGCACATGAAGAACAACAACCAATCACAACCAAAAGAGTTCAACTAAAACGTGAACTCTGATCAAAACGGTCAAACTAGGTAGTACTGATCAAATATGAATCAATATTCTGTTACTACAATGCCTGTTTTTTGCCTTAAATGTTTTCTGAAACACGTTGGTGTACAGTTTAGCCGTAAAATTAGAAAGTTTGTGACTTGGCTGCCATTTTTTAAAACAGTCTAACCACAGCCAAGCACTGTCCCAAGCAAACTCAAAGCATAACTTCTTTCACAGTGTATCTGTCTGACGTACTACTGTCAGGTTAGAGCGACAGTTTGAGCAAATATCACCACCAAAAGAAAGGAAATGTATTCTCCATTCTGGCTGAAGGAGCATACATTTATCCGACTCACCATGAACTGGCCCAGCATATCAACACACTTGAAGAGCCCCAAATTACGCTCCCAAGACCGAGGCCAATTGCTTTAATAACTGGAACAGCTGCTATATTCCCTGTAGATAACACGGGAGAAAAAGTTAGCAACATGCACGTCTTAAAGACCCGTGATGGTCTACAAATGTCTACAATAGAGTCAGCAGGTGCAAAGACATGCAGTGCACAAGGTTCTCGGCATACTTTATGCACATTACAGTTGAACACTGGTTTAGCTAGGTGTACCTAATAAACTGGCGAGTGTAGTATAAGATTGGGACAAATAAGTGTCCTTTAAAGTTTGTCATATCTCACAGGAACAGTATCAAAACCATCAGTTTAAGATTCATTTTTAAGATGGTCTACAGCAGATGGAGTGTTTAAGTCCCTTTAAGCAGGTTTTAAGTCGGACCTATCCACACTTGAAGGAGACTTGCTCCAATGAGACCAGTCTGCATTCAACCACATGAAAAACAGCACGTACAATTTGGGTTTGTTGTTCTGCTTTATGAGAATTACCTGTAGCCCAGATGACACCTCCAAGCATCGCAAAAGGGTGGAATTTGGGCGACTGAAGTATTAAGTCTGCAAACATAGATACAATCCATATCGCTGCACAGTATACCCACTGAAAGAACATACCTGGAACCAGAGCACAGACAAATTATCATAAAGGGTTAGAAAACACCACTTGTGGATTTCACTGGAACAGTCAACAACTTGTTGCATAAATACTTTTCTAAGAAAAGCAAGTGCTGTATTCTTACCATCGCCTGTCTCTATTCTTTTTACAGGAACTAAATTGCTTCCATACAACAGCACAGCAACCACATTGGCAGCAATTCCATAGACCAAATGAGTCATATTGGTTGAGTTGAAGGTGAACTCAAATGTTTCCAAGTTGCCAGCTCCAGCATTTTCACCATGTTTCACACCTGGATCTATTTTCAAGCAAAACAAAACACTCAGTATTGGACAACAGAATAGCCTCAGGCTTCTCCTTCACATACAAATTATAGTTCCCGTACCTTGTTCAGCAGCATGTTCAGTGCTATGACAGCTCATCATCAATAATGTGGTAACAAATAAAAGCAGAGGTGGGTATTTTGCTTCAAGCATTTTAAAATAAATATTTGTCTTCCAGGATGTAGCTGGTGCACGGTGTTAAAAAACCAGCTAGAGGCCCCGTGTGTCTGCAGTGGGGAGGAGCTACACTCAGCCAGGTGCTGCCAATTATGTAATCACTCAATCCTACACGTCATGCTGCAGTGGATACAGGGCAAGCAGGAGGAAATAAAGTCTTGTGAGCTTCATCTCACAGTGTAAATAAATTACAAGTTGTAGTTAAACTCATGTGTATATTTTATTAAATGTGATGAATTGCTGTAAAGTTCAAACAAGCATTACACACAAATATAAATAAGTGATCTCAATATTAGCGTTTTAGGTTGAGTGGTGGAAAGTAACTTAAGTAAATTTACCTAAGTACTGTACCCAACAATGTCGAGGTATTTATACTTTGCTTATTTTCAATTTTCTGCTACTTCATAGTTCTACCCCAGTACATTTCAGATATTATACGCATTATCAACTACAATTTGATTACGTAGTTACTTTGTAGAATCAAATTAATATTACAAAATATGATATATAGATAAATAGTACAGGCTAAGCTGCCCAGCACATACAGTATATAAAGTAACATGGCACTTTAAATAAATGTTTTAACACTTAAGTAAAAAATGTAATGCCTGACTTTAAGGTCTAAGTACTTCCTTCACCTCTGCAGGTTTAACGACTAATTTGCCTGACTGAGGAGGACAGCACTCATCTGGACATCAGTAGTCTTTATAGGCCACAACACAATAGTTCTATATTTAAAGATGTTGGTATTGGAGTCAGGAAATCCTGTAGCTGCTGCCTACAGCCTGCATCTCCCTTACACCGGAGGAAATATTTGTTTCCTGCTGTTAACTGTTTCCATTTTCACATTTCTATTCTATTCTATTCTTTTCTAATGTGTCCCAAGTTTGCACGCAGCCAATTAAGAATTAAGGACCAGCAGATGTCGCCTAAAACGCGCGATGTATTATGGACCAAATGTTCTTAGCACTTCAACTTAAATAATGACCTTCACCTCAAAACTCTGTATTGATTTAATCAAAGAATATGACCATAAAGTCTACGATTCGTGTGACGAATTTTAGCAACAGCTAGGAGTTTTATTTTTTTGTTTTAGTAAAAACAATAATTAGGCTATTAAAAAACAGCTATGATTTCCCTAATATTCCTATTCATGCTGAAAAAAGTTGCGTGGGAGGATTTCCACAATATTAGGGTATATGGCAACGTTATTTGCTACTTTTTATATCTTGAGTACGTTTGCAGAAAATGTAATGAAGTTCGATATAAAAGCCCCTCTGTGCTTATCAGGCTGTATATGTTAGAGGATTAAAGCAATAACTAAAAGAAGACATGAAAAAAAAAAAACCTTCGAGTAGTCTTACGTTGGGTTGGAGGGTGGTTTCCCAACCCGTCCATCCCATAAATACGGAGTCGTATTCGTGCACTAGTGGCCACACATCCTTCCTTCCAAAATGAGTTTTTGTGCTCCTCCCTAGTTTGAGTTTGGCTCGAAAAAGACAGTCAACCATGATAATAACATAAGTTCTAATGGGGAAGTCTCGCTTTCACTGGCTGTTCTTCCCTTGTCTAAGACTGACCAGCAGCTTTCGGAGGTGCCCTCTTTCAAACAGGAGTTTGATAATTGCGAGCGCATGTGTTGTTTATTTGTTGGTGGTGGGTTCACAAGTCGGATACTCGCAGCAGCACCGGGACAGAAGGATTGAGAGAGAGAAGTACCGGCACACCCGTGGATTGTATAATTTGGATATCACAGACTCTGTGGATTTGCAGACCGGTGCGAGCTTTGTGGTCCCGACGCGGTCCAACGTGGTGTACATAACGCTTAAGTCTAAGCGCTTAAAACCAGCACATATTCGGGGTACAATCAGACCAAAACTGAGGAGAAAAGTGAGGAGGAATAAGGATGAGGTTTATTCAGCTTTTACGCAGAATAAACTTGGCACTTTGGAGCGGGACGCTGGCCAAACTAAGCGCAAATTTGCATCCAATACTTCACGGGGAGAAACGAGGCATGTGTATTACAAATCTTTAGAAATAATCCATACGGACGGACAGGCAGACTCTCACATCAGTTCTATACGAATATACAGCCAGACGGCACCGCCGTGGCTCAGCCCACATGACGTGAAAGACATGCGCTTTCTCGCGGATGCCAAAGTTTTGCGCATCAAAGAAGTTTCTCGTAGATACTCTCCATCACTTCTGGTATTTGAGGGCGAGACAAGCGTTTCAACGACCAACCTGCAACACACACAACGGAGCAATGTATGTGGAGGGCAGTGTGGAGTTATCAGCAGCCCCGTGGACACCACTGAGGTCTTTGCCTTTCATCTGGACAGGGTGCTGGGGCTCAATAGGACATTACCAGCCGTAAGCAGAAGGTTCAGCTTCTTATACGGTATGTTCACAGACACCAGGACAAAATCCCCCATTTGCTGACCGAAACAAAGAAAGATAGAGCAGTAGGGAGGTGGGATGGATATATCTGAGGAAAATAAATGTAATTTCTAACTTGATATGTTTCCTTTGGGGTATTTTGAAGGCAAAGCCATTAAAATGCAGAGTGGTACAGTACAAACCGTTTGAATGTGTTTCAACCCTTGAGTCACTGAATGTCATGCACACATTAAATGAAGGATCCATTAAATCTCTTAAAGCTCTGGAGTCAAGTGTTGAGAGAGATGGGTTCTGAAGATCCAACAGCCATGTGCTTTTGAGCAAGAGACTCTGCACATTGTGTGAGCAGGACTGTTGTCAGGACCACATGAGTCTGGACTATTTCGAGATCAGAGCCAGTCCAGAAATATTCAGGGACAAACGCATCAATACACAATATGCACATATTTCCATGGCAGAATACTACTGCAATAAAACAGGTTGTTTTAGGTATAAATTCAAACTTCTACCAGAACTTTGAGCATGGCAGCACACTCTTACAAGGTCTGCATTTAGGAAGTTACCACAAACACAGCAGGAGACATAGAGCCACTGTCCACTTTCCTTTCTTCTTCACTCCACCGATATTCCATCTTTGCCTGACATCTGTGTCTGTTTTTACGCCTACAAAGGAAACAAGAAACTTTTCCACTGTGAGTCAGATAACACAACATCCTGTTTCTGGGAGTCTGATTTGTTAGTGATTTCTTCAAACACTGATTAAATGGACGGTTCACCCCAAAATAAAAACGGTTTCCTCTTACTTGTAGTACTATGTTTCAGGCTAGATTGTTTTAGAGATACCAGCTGTAGAGATGTCTGCCTTATCTCGTATATAATGGAACTAGATGGCACTCGGCTTGTGTTGCTCAAAGCGCCAATAAAATACATTGTGGTGACAACTCAACAGCAGTGTCTCTTTCCAGATATCATGACCAATCATCACTCAAGATAATCCACAGACCCTGTTGTGAGCAGTTTCATGTAGGAACTATATAACTTGGCAACTGACACAAAATCAGTCCAGATTGATAAATATAGCACTACAGAGGAAATGTTATGTTATTTTTATTTTGGGGTGCAACTGTTTAAAATGAATGCTTTGCAAAATTAAAGAATAGAAATATTTCTAAATATCCCTAGCGCCATTAATGGTAGTCCAGTTTTGATCTGCTAAAGTAAGCAAGGTAAACAATGAGGTCATGCTGTGCAAGTGTGTATATGTTAACCACCAATGAAGTGTGCAGTATCCATTGCTCAGTAAGCTTTTCCTGGATACAAAATTTTTTTTTAAAATAGTCACTGAGACGGAACAGTTGCTGAAACTTGGCCATGTAATCCTTTTATCCTCCCTCTTTAGATGGCCAGCCCTGTCCAGTGGTGTCATGGGATGCATCTCTCTACCCAGAAGGCCGTGCTGCAGGCTGGTCCACCACAAGGTTAACATGGGGGGAGTACCAGAGCTCCCTGAAACAGAGATGTTGGCATAAAAACATCAACCCAAAGCCGGACTCTGGCTGCTCCACAGTTCATCACTATGAGTGGAGTAAACTGGCTCTGTTTGACTTCTTGTTACAGGTAACAGAAGCTGTTTGAAAACCATCATAATGGAAGACTGATTTATAAATTCCACATTTCTCTGAATGTGAACAAATAGCAGCTTCCCTGTCCTGTTTGCTTTTGTGCAGTTAGAGCCACTCTTTATCGAATTCCAAAAATGCTTCATGAATGACTTTTGCAAACATCCTTTTTTTGGCCAAACAGATGTCTTGTTTCCTGTGTGGAAGGCCCGGCTCTCTGATCAGATTTTGGCATTGGGTACACATCTCCTAAGAATTCTTTGAAATTCATCCCAAGTACCAGAATGAGGAAATGGAAAATATATACTTTTATTCCAATAGTTTGGATACCTTTAAAACTATTAAATCCACCATTGCGGTCATAGTGCCACAGCTTTCGTTATGTATCTGTGTTCTTTATTTGAAGTTCCTCATGAATAGATTCATAAATAAGTAAAGAGAAATTCATTTTGTGCAGTTAAGAAAAACAGATTTCATACAGATTGGACACATAACACATATTGTCTAAGACACAAGTGACCTGAATATAATGATGTTATTATATTGGATTTTTCATAATGAATAATAAAACAACCAAACTTGCCCAGGTGACAAAAAACATCTTTGAATACAGAAGCTAATGTTGAACTCTTCTGTGTGTTGAGAAAACCCTTCTTCACAAAAAAAAACATCGATGAATATTTTTGGTTAGGGCCTCAATAGATAACTTAACTTCTGTTTATGATTGTCTTGGTGATGATTTTAATCTCTTTAGACTTTAGAGGTTATCCTTCCATCAATAAGGCAACGTCATCAAATCCTCCTTTTCATATTTTATGTGATATGACAGGTTTTGTATAAATTTACGAAATATAACCAGAGTTTCCATCAACAGTCCGCTGTGCTGTCATGTCACTCTAATTGATGTCAATATCTAATCAAATAAACTGCGTTCATACCAAAGATGCACTTCAAAAACCATCCTGCTGGATGCGTTTAGTTTTTCTCTGTAAGAGAATTGCATTTATTTGATCCCCAAACAAAATCATGATGTTGTCCGTGAGATAATGTAAAAGGGACCCAGTCAATATTGCAAAATAAGCTTACTCAGGGCAAAACAACCTGTCATCCAACACTTAAAAAAAGAGAAAAACTCCATGAATACCAATGTGAAAACTCATAAATCAATCACAACTGTGATTGATTTATTGATTTATTTAACCTTCTCTTTCAGATTCACAACCGTCTGGATCCGAGCTGCTGTGGATTCAGGCCCAGGCAGGAGGATGTGTGTGTGAAACACAACGCTGAATGTGGGGACCAAAACCACATACAGCTGGCAAACATCATCCACAGGGGCCACGACCCCAGACACCTGGTCTTTACCAACAACAAGGGGTTCTTCGACCGCAATGAGGACAACCTGGACTTCAGGCTCCTGGAAGGAATCAAAGAGTAAGTTTGGATGACAAAAACATTAATTATGTGATAAATACTGCATATAGGAAATAGATTACGTTTCACTCATATTTAGTTTGCTGTGTGTGCTTCAAACATCAAAAACTGACATGTGGAAAAGCAATGTATATTTCCTCAAACAATGGGCCTCATTCATGACAGTTTGTACACACAAATGTGATCAAAATATGGACTTTTGTCAGATTCATCAATGTTTTCCTTTTTTACAAAATATAAGGCTATGTATTAAATGATTGAAACTGTCCACTGCAAGGATTTTGTCGGAGCACAAGTGATTGTTGTCTTTCTTGGGATGTTTTTAGGAAGTTTTTACAACATGTTTGAAAAAAAAAGCTGAAAAAGCTCATTTTCATATCTGACAGGAGTGTGTTGAGTCTCTGCAAGGCTTGTGGAGCAACTTTGAAATTAATATTTTGCACACAATATTCCGCAAACACATGCATAAAGCAGTTTTTTACAAACAAAAACTTTTTCTAATCCCGCTTTGATCATTTAAACCTCATATTATTGCAAAAAATATTTAGATCTGGCTCAATAAAGTAAATATTTCCTTTGGATTTGAATCTCTGGGGCGTAATAATGTTCTTTCTGTTCATCCCCCACCAGTCTGTGTGGATCTGTGATTGAAAACCACACTGCTAAAACGTTGCTTTCTTTTCATCCATCTTTTGATCGATGAATCACTGTGATACCGTGATACCAGTGGGGGGACAGAGGAGAGACTGTTTTGTTTGTGTGTCTCCCCAAACATGGATCCTTGTGATCCACATCAAATATGTAGCTTCTATTCTGCCAAATGTGATATAAAGGCAACGTGAGTCTAAGCTGCTATTAGATGACTTCACGCTGCAAGATGACAGGATGTCATTCGATGATCGATCTTTTTTTTTTTTTTATCTCATGTTGAATTCTTTGTAGATCTGAGATGGTTTTATCCTTTTGATTTTTATCAAAGTTTGACATTTTATTCCATGTACAACATGCAGTATCACAGTTTCTTGGAAATTCAGAGCAGCTTGAAAACATAAACATAGTCAGCAACCACTTAGCAATCTCTCCATGGCTCTTCTCCAGTCATCTTCAAAGTCTTGGCCGTGCCCCCCCTCTCTCTCTCTCTGATGTGGTTTTTCATTTTTGATACATAAACATTTCTCTGAGGCAAAATGCCTCTGCAGGGAATAATGAAATCCATTCAAAATTTAGCGAGGCAAGGCACAAACCTGTCTCTGATTCAAGCAGCAAATACACTTTAGTTCATTAACAACCATCTACCAGCCTAAGTACATAGGATAGCAGTCAGCTCCAAGCCAGTGCGGCACAGCTTCACATGATATATATATATATATATGTGTATATGTACATTGTTTTCTATCTCTGCTGATATTTCATGTATATGAGTGGAGCCTTTACCCACTTTAAAATGTCACACAAAATACCATGCTTACTAACTTTAATGCTGTCACTTTAATGTAGTTGTACGAACATCCTCAGAGACAACTAATGCTGATCTGATTGGGTATTTTATTTTTTGGAAGTTGCTGCATAGCTGTGCACCTATGCCCTTGTTGTTCTATCCCTACAGCTTGTGTTGTTTGCTGCACTCTTGCCTGAGGGTTCATACCTACCATGTTCAGCATGTTGGTACACCCATAATAACAGGGTAGCTTTGCACATTGAGAATGGATCAAATTATTTCTACTCCCAGCCAAGAGCAGCTCTTCCTCTGAGACATGTGCCTGAAACTAAAACTCCAATTTGATTATACTTGCCCTTCCTGACTCACTCTCTGTCTCCCCAGGCTGCCAGAGCAGGCGGTGTTGGTGCTGAAGAACAAGAGGCTGAGGGAGAAGCTCCTCCAGTCTCTGTTCCTGGACCAGACATACTGGGAGAGCCAGGGCGGCCGACAGGGCATCGACAAGCTCATCGATGTAATTGAGAGGCGGGCGAATGTCCTCCTCACCTATGTCAACGCTCACGGGATCAAAATCGTCACAATGAATGTGTGATGAGAGTCAAGTGACCTCAATAATGCGACACAGATAAAGTAGAATAACGCCTTGATCTGTGTGACTTAATGTCCTTTTACAAGACACTGGAGCTTAATCCACTTACATTTTCTAAGTGACTCTGATGTCATCATGTAATGTCATTTGCAAGTTCTTTAATATGAACTATCACAAGAAAATGTGAGCATAATGGTGTCAAGTGAAACTGGTCCTAATCGTCACGACCATATCATTTTACCGTGAAATATTGAAAAAATTAACAAGATTAATGAATAATTAGAGAGTTCTTTCTCTAATTATTCGTAAAGTAACAATTATCACATCGCTAATGAAGGACTTATATATTATAAATGGCACGACCCTTTTAAAATAGCATTGTGGTGGTGTTAATAACTGTGTGATAGAAAGCTTATTTTGCAGTAATGGAAACCAGTCATTTGCATCAGAGCCTGAGAGACGCTATATTTAACTCATCAAGGTGAAATAATTCTTTCGGCCATCATTGTGTACAGAATATTCTGCAGCTATAACTTTGCTCCTCCTGAGGCCTCGCATTAAGTGTAATTTGCTTTGTGTATGACTGGAATGCACTCAATGATACTGGAATGATCCTGAACAAACAAATGCTTTAGGTAAATCTATAGTGAAAGTTGAAAATGAAAAAATAAAAAGTATTACTCTGAAGTTAAGGGAAAATACAGTGTTTGCAAATCATATGTCTTCAGGCAGGCCACTTCAATTTAAATACCTTTAAAGGCACAGGGCTTTGTACTTCAGTTTCCATGTTTTGTTAAGCAGGTTTTGGCTTGAGCACTGTGGAATAAGATGGTACATTGGATTACCTTATCAGTTCTCAAGAAACTTCACAAGGTTTGGTTTTAGGAAATGTATAGAACTACTCTTTCTTTTTTCTCCGTGGCAGGCCTGATATTTTCATCCTAGTTGACACGGATAATGAGCCTTTTGCCTTTACAGTGTGTCCGCTTTTCTTCTTCTCCTTGTTCACATTTTTGCTCTTCTTGTTTCCAAGGGAGTAAAGAAATTGAGAAGATTTGGTCTTTTAGGCAGTGGATGACAATAATTTGGGACAGTCCTTCTCAGCTGTTCCCAGCTGGCTGCTGCCTGGTCAGCCTCCGAACAGAGGAGCTCTTTATTCTTGTAAACTCAGCTGAGCGCTGATAATCACTCTGGTTTACCATGATGTCACTTTTCCCACTCCCTGCCCTTCAGAGTTTGCAAGTGACCTTCAATGAACTGTGATTAAAAAGTAAGCAAACCATGTGCCTGCTGGCTATATTGGTCAGAGCAACTTTTTTATTGTGAGATTTATTTAATAATGCTTTGACTTTGTATTCTATCTTTTGTGTTCTACTTCACAAAGTACTTCACATATTATCAACATCAGGGAATGTTTTGCAAACATCTCTGATCCAGAGAACATTTAACAGAATGTCAGCAAAGGACTTGTTCAGGACTGTTTTCAGGTAGCTGGTCACTATCTTGTTCCGACAAAAACCAAAGTGCAAAAACAACTATTTGTGGTTTAATGTGGGGCTATGTGCCTGGCTAGCTATTTTCCCCATGCTAAGCTAAGCTAACATACTGCTGACTATATCAACAGAGGAATCAACCTTCTCATCTAACGTTCAGCAAGAAAACAAAAATAGATATTTTCCAAAATGTCAAACTACTCCTTTAAAATGTGTCACCTGTGTAAACACACACAAGCAACATTAGAATCATCTTTCTTAAAAAGAAAAAAAAAATCTCTGATAATACCTGTTTGCTTTGACATTTTCTTTTATTTTTTGTTAGATGCTTACGGGTCTCTCTGTTTTCTAAAAGGCCTTCCTAATTCTTGGACCATGGAGTCTTTGAAGCACCTGGAACATTACGCTGCCACGAGTCTCTCGGAGTGTTTCAACAACACAGCGCCTGGGTGGCCACTGTCAGAACACTGCAGAGGTGGATTACATGGGAAGACATAGAACCAAAATGAGTATCTTTTGTCCTGCCACATTGCCTCTAATTGCCACTGCTGGAGCAAGTTGTCTTTGCGCTGATAAGGACTTTAAAGGAGATATTGAAAGAATGTCAACACGTCACACAAACTCATGTCAAAGCTTGCTTGTTTCATAAATGAACCACATCATTCTTAGTTTGAAGATTTATGGAATCAGGGCACATGGTGAGTGATGTCTTTTTTGATGACTTTCGCTACACGGAGAGACATTTATTTTGCAGGCCTGGCGTGCTACCAGGATTTTGTAATCTTATCCCCTCTCTGTGAAAGAGAGCAAGTTTTTAAGGGATTTAAATCAGCTGTCCTGACTTAAAAATTCTTACTCCTCGGGTTTCAATCATCTATCAGTTGGAAAGACACCTCCTCTTTGTGCTCTATTTGCTCTCTTTTGTTTTTTTTTTACTGTATTCTCAAAGCAAATTTCCAATTCAGGGCAGAGTATTTGTTTGTTTCACCTTTAGTGACTATTTCTTTGTAGAATTCTGATAAGTGAAAAATGTAATCCTCCTGGGGCAGCTTTTGTGTTTCTGGTCAGCTGATTCTTTAGAAATAAAGTGTAAATATGCTGAATCATCCCACCAACAGTTTGCTTAAATCTACAGCTGCAGCTCACCGCCTGTTGAAGTAGAAGGCTCTCTGCCAGGTAAGAATGCAGCCGAGTGAAACAGTCTTGCCAGTGGCGATGTAAGGACACTTTATGATCTTTAAAAGTCGAATTAATGAAAGCATTGGGTCGAGATTAACTTCACCCGGGCATTGACACTCAGATACCATTTGGAGGATTTGGATTTTTAAACAGCTTGAAACTTATTATGTGGAATTTGATTTATGTGAAGAGGTGAAGGTTAATAGCTTGGCTCAACTGTGACAGACCAAGATGAAGCAGAGTGAGGAACTTCCCTTATTGCTGTGAGCTGCATGCTTGATTGCATCGAAGCACATCCAGCTCAATATTTGTACTTGGTACCATATTTGGGCTGTGGACGAGAGACGCCGTGGTAGAGACGACCGGAGGATGCCATCTAGTTATAAGGCAGCCCCTCCAAAAACTCCTCTACCCTGCTTTTATTTAGCAACTGCCACAAGAACGTTTAGCGGAGTAATTTTCCTGTCAACATCTAACGCTGATGACAGCTCATTTTTACTGCACCAATTCCTCAATACAGTCAGTTTACTCCATTCAGTTGCAGCTGAGACGGAAGCAGTTTCATGGTTTCATTATAAAAAAATGGATGTTGTCACCGTGACTTCACGCATAGGTTTCTGAAAAGCTGCTGTGAAGCTAAACGTGGGTGGTGCCAGCCGTCGCCATCTTGTCAGTGAAGACACAGCCTAACTCCTGGCTAATCCAAAAATGGGCAAAAAGGTGGATCGTTGGTGGGGCTGAGGCTGACAACGATGATGTGGCAGAGGAGACACTTTTGGAGCCAGCCTCAAGTAGCCATTTGATGAACTGCTGTTTTTGGTACTTTTGCGTTGGCCTCATTTCTCAGGACCGGAGGTTGCCTCTTAGTGGTAGCTCGATGAAGTACACATTTATTCACCTTTGTTTTTTAAACTCAGGGCTCCTCTACAAGATAAAGCCTCATTGGGGATCAAATAGACGTTGACTTATAACGTGCTGTATTGGTACAATATTAAAAGACAAATTGCATTAATGAAATTATCACAAACTAATTGACACATCGTTGGCAATCTAGCCTTAAAGTACAGAAAGTAAACTTCGTCAATAAATATATGATTTGTAGTTGCTATGAGACATGCAATTTAACATTTAAATTTAATTTAACATAATTCATTCCCAAATTCCACACACATTCAGTATTCCCTCTAAATAATGCTCTCTGGTGTGAACTAACCCAGACACACTTGGTGAAAGGATGACTAAAACTCATATTGATGAAATTCTTCTATGGTTCACTACTCTTCATGTCAAGGTAATAGACCCCATCTTCTGTAGTCTCTGCTGATGGCTTTACAGGTAGTGGTGAGAGAAGAACCTTAGTTGATTCATAAACTGGCGCTAGATTAAAGTGATGAGAGCTCAAGCTGAAAAGCGGGGTCAGGCATCTCCATGGACTGGCATCTCAAACATCTGCTCCCGGAGATATACGGGGCAATCAAACAGTTGTGGGCTGAATATGTCACATTCTATATTTAGAGATCTTGTGAAGAGAGAGGTGTGGCATGTGGAGCATGCAGCAGACTCTGAATGAGACCATTCGGGATGAGCGCCGAAATGATTTAAGACCTTAACTGCCAATGAGTCACATGACCGGAAAATGTTTTTCTTCTATTTTTAGGAACCTGATTAAGAAAGAAACATAACGAGGTAAAACCGTAATCACTTGTTGATGATAAACTGTTTTTTTTTAAATTAATTTGAATGACTCCATGTGCAGGATGATGATTGCCGTTATCAAGCTGCAATACTTCCTTTGCTCTTCTTGGCAGCATTTCGTGAGCATGTGATAATATCTGCAACTGGCAGACAAAGCCTTCATCTCAAACCAAAATTACTGGTCGTGAGATTCGAGTGAACTATCACATTTCAGGTTTCAACAGTAGGTCAGACATGTTTAGAGTGATTATGTGCTTATGGGAACCCAGTACAAAATCAGAGCATATGAGCCAATCCCTTTTGGTTGGAATAAAAACCTGGTGTAAGAATAGAATAATGCTAAATGTTGCCACACTTAACACTCTACATGTGCCAAAGAGCTTCTGAACATGTGCTGTTGGGTCTTTAGCTTGAATCGAGTCCCGTTTTGGACTGTGCAGACTCAGCTGGTGCCTTTCCCCACTGACCAATTATCCATTACTCATAGTGGAAAACATCCCATCTAACAAATGAGGACCCAGAGGAGGGGGAAAAAGGCAAGAAACAACCATTAAGAGGTAAACTGGTTCAACACAAGCCACTTTGTCACACTGACAGTGTATTCCGCTATTTAACTGACACAAGCATGTGCAGTAACTGACTGAAGGTGTGAACAGCCTAAAGAGAGAGACCCCAAACATTCCTCACCTACCCCATTCCTGACTTGTCTATCCGAGGTCAAAACTGTCCCAGCAGCAGTACTTTGAACTTGGCTGGGCGTCAATCATGAGCTATAGAAAGATCTGAAGTCATAGAGGAGGCATTTACAGTATATTCTACACCAGGGATGGGAAATAAAGGCGTACCCTAGAGGCAGGGGAGTAAAGACCACAGCAGGGAACATCATGGAATACATTCTCCCCTCTGGCTTTTCGAATAAATACCTACTGACTCCGGCCGTCCATTGCATGCCGTCCATTGCATGCCGTCCATTGCATGCCGTCCATTGCATGCTGTCCATTGCATGCGACTGCCCATCCTGCTTCCAAATTGTGCAATAATACACAGCAGGCGTCTGTGATGTGATGTTCATCGATCTGCTCAGTTATTGCATTGGGAATTGCCTCTTTATACATTTATTGTGTTTACTACTGTCTTTTTTTATTAGTAAGTATTACTTCAGCAAACATATACATCATATCCTGTGCAGAAAACCTTTTGTTTTTTTCCCTGTACATTTTGAATCGACTCAATCAGTGTTTTGGACAGTGAAAGTACATGTTTTCATAAACCTGTGATAAGCTAATAAAACAAGTTAAGAAACAGACATTTATTTTACAGACACACATTTACATATACAGTACTGTTAGGTCCGACTGCCGTTGATTTATTGTTCAAAAGAATCTTCACACACGAACCTCCAAGACAACAGCTATAAAGCTAGTCCTGCTATGCCAGTCTTTACGATGAAGATGCTATTCTGGCTGCATAGATGAGAAGCTGTGTGCATCCAATGAACACGGGGATACCGTGGCTTTAGTCAGAGCAGGACTCTCAAGGTCATACAATCTAAACTTGCCACACTATTAGTTTTGCAAACAACAATGACTCGACTGTTTTCAAAGGAAATGAGGAATGTGATGACTGATAACAGTTTGTGCTGGAGATACAAAGAATGTTATTATGGAAAGAAAGGGACAGAGTTCAAACTTTATCTCTCACACCGTTTGGGCTGTTTTCTAAGAAAGGAATCAAGACTGGTCTGAGAGGAAGAAATTAAACATTATTATTACTCTCTGGGTCACTGTGACTTTGAGACCTCCAACTGAACGAAAGCTGTTGCTCCTCTGGTAAAATGACTGTACTGCCTATTATCAGATTAAAGCAAGCTGTTATATAAATCCAGTGGGTGGAACACTTTATTCAAAATTAGATTTTTCTGTTCGATTCAAAGAACTCAAATCACATTATTTTCAGTGAAATGCCAATGATACATATTTTAAGATTGAATGTTCGTATCAAAAGATATTTTTTTCAAACTTTCCGCCACATCTTGTATTTCTTTATACATTCTAATTTAAATAGCACTTGTAAAATGAACAATGACGATAAAAGAGCATTATGCATACATGCAAATAGTGATAATCTGGGTCTACCAACCTGGAGCAGGCAATATGAATGTCTCTTTCAGACTCTTTGGAAAACATTATTTTTATTTTTCTAGGAAGCAGAGGAATAGTTTTGGAAATTTGATGGAATCAATTTCCACCATGATGTTTGGCTTCCTATTTCAATCTTCCGCTTCACATAAATCTTCTGATGGGGTTTCACCACTTCAGCCT